ATCAGTCAAATAGCATAAAGCCAACAGGAGAAATGTGTATCGCCATGCATGCTGGTAGGGATCCACTCATAAGAGCATTACTCTATAGCAGTGGTTCCAAAACGTTTCCCTTAAAGGACCCCCCCCTTTTTTTAATAATTTATTAAACTGATGACCAATGGGTGCAATGAACCCAAATAGTGAACTCAGTGATAGTAAGAGGTTTTTGTAAAACAAGTGATTTGGATAAATTTTAAGTAGATTATTTCTTGTTAAGGGAATCATTTTTAACAATTATACATACTTCATAGGCTTCTTTTTTGACAAATTCAGTGTTTTATTGTTGTTGCTTGTTGTTATATGCAATTTTTAACTGAAATAATCTGAATCATAAGATGACAGCTGGTCAAACTGCAGTTGCCTCCATGCCAATGAGAATGATGAAGATCCTCAATGAAGCAGAAGCCACTGTTTTTAGTGCAACTTAAGAAAAAGATGCAGTTAAATGCAACTGTACGCTTATTGTTACTGCATCATCATGACAAAAAATTGGTTTGCCATAAATTTAGTGAAATGAAGCATTTTATTTATAAAATAAATATATAAATAAATTATAAATAATACATTTTTTATAAAAATATTCCAAATGGGGTACATTATTGAAAAAACTTTGAGAAGCACTGCTCTATAGCGCTACCAGTGGTCAAAAACTCCACTGGGTACCTTAAAGGTTTCAAACATATCACAGGTTCTGATGATGTCTGGCACCATTAGAGCTCCAGCCCACAATTGACGAAGCCAACTCATAATTTACAACAAGACAATTTCAACGCACATTAATTTGCAGTTCTGCAAATGCCAGAATTATCCAGCAGGCAAATTTTCAACTGCAAACATTTGGCAAGATGTTCTAAAATTAATGCTGAGATGGGGAAGATGATGAAGCCAAAAAGCCTTTGTTAATCTGACTGATGTGATTGTGTTCTCAAACTGGCTTTGGGAGGTCTACAGCCGTTGTGGTGCACATGACCTGGAGGAAAATGGCAAGTAGAATGTAAAGTAAATTATTCTAATTCACATGGACATAACAGACTAGCAATAATTCTTTCATGCTAGTAAGGCTACCTAGATTAATGTTACCATTCTTATGTGTCATTTTGCTTACTGCAACACTTGTAATGGACAGATTCCATATGAAGCCATGCCCATCACACTTTGGTCAAAATGTCAAAAAAGTTAAGTCTTCTTAGAGAAAAAAGAGAAAATCTTTTTCTCTGGTCACTGACAAGTAAGCGGGAGAGAAGTCATTTTTCCTTGATTTTATTATTTAGTAAATCGTGCAAAAAGTGCAAGGAATCATGCTTTTGAGCCTCAGTATGCTTCAAATCAACTAGTTTGTACAACATGCCATCCGACTATGTCCAAGGACGTCTTCAGCTGTTTAGCCTGACACCCCCTGCTGACTACATCCCACTGCCTCTCCAATCTGTCTCCAAGAACTCTGTGTCGCTGTAGTCGCTACCCCACAAATTGTTCAAATGTGGATTATACACTTTGATTAGTCTGTCCTCAAAGGCATTCATGGTGTTGCACTTTGTTATACGGAATAAAATTGATGACAGAAGTTCAAACTCTGCCCTACTCTTACACCTCCACCCACGTAGCCATAGTATGTTAGGAAAGATTGTCAGACACAGACCCCCTCATAGGTCAGAGGACCTGAAAAACACTCCATCTGCAGCATACCAGCACATAGAGGTGATTATATCTTGTGAAACCGCTATAAGACCATACAATACACTGTAACGATTTGATTGTTCTTAGTTCACCCTCACAAACCTTTTGCTCCTTCACTTTATGGTGCAATTTAAGGTCCCTGGTTTCAATGTCACACTGTTCCAACACATCTGAGCGCCTCGGCTTTACTGGCAAGACCCGCAGGCCTCTGGAGAAATCTGTTTCCAATTTTGCTGTGTATGATAACATCTATTGTTGTCCTGAGCCACCCGGGAGTGGATGGTCGATTCGGAGCTGGCTCTGTGCTACTGCCCAGACCTCTCCAGAAAGCCCCCCCCTCCGTCTGTCTGGAGGCTCTCCATTAAACATACTGCTAATAGCCCAATGGGTGGCTGGATGACTTGACGGATCGGGGGGGGGGGTTAGGTTTCACGGGCCCTCTGGTCCTGTCTGGGTCACCACTGCTGACCGAGGAGAGCGTCTGTAGCCCCAAAACTTCCCAGCTCGATTAATCAAGCTAGCGCTGGGTCCTATCGACCTTGTTAAACACAAACCGTCTAGACTCTAACAGAGGCGCATTGTTAAACACAACACGTGCTCGCACAGCAACTGAAATGTATTAATCATGGCTTCCCCCGTTAGTAATAAAACAGTACAGTCTGAGAGCCTGGCATGTGTTCAATGATCTGATAATAAAGTATTTTTAGATGTCCTGCTGTTGTTGTTCGATACAAACCTCCTCAGCAATAAAAAGCCCTTCATCTGAATTCTCTCAGCCAGTAAAACAATCCATACACATGAATAATCCACAGTGTATCTGCTGCCTTCGGCTTTGATCACATGAGAGGTGAGAAAATCCATTTGACGATGTTGAAAGGTTGTGTAGAGCGTTGGAATGTTTCTCACCATGTTGAAAATCCATTGGCTACACAAGCCAGGACTTTGAATTTAGACCACGAACAAGATCTGTAAGTACCACCTTTCCTTTTGATCCTTCAACTGCCTCTTCCTGTTTCTAAGGAAGACACACCTAGTGACACACAACTTTGAAGTTTCCATGCTGGCGCTTTAGCTTGGCTGTTTTCACGAGAAGCCACTCCAATGCAGAGACGCGTCTGTACTCTTATCAGCTGCTGTACTTATCAGCTGCACAGAATCGATTCTGAGGCTACTTCTGAGGAGACTTTGAGGTTTGGTGGTGTTAGAGCCACAGAGAGAAACTACGCTCTGCCAAATTAACCAACCGATCAGTCCTCATCTGAAATAACAGCTGTCGTGCTAATAATCCATCAGGAATACTCATGAGGCCATGATTCCACTTCAATGCATGCCCCACATCATTATTTTCTTCACATTTTCATATTTTACTTGTTATCAGTTGTTAACAGTTCAGTTCTATTTTCTGTCAATAGTCTGTTTCTAAGCCGTCTCCACACTCTCCACATTTCTTCACACTGGTGAAGAAATACTGACTCCTTTACGCCTTTTTTATGTCAGAATTCTGAGATAAGTTTAGAATTAAAAATAATTTGCTCTGTTTTTCTGATTTAATGGGATACCTCCAGCAGGCTCCTCATGCAGGCAATCCAGGTGATAGACGGCCCGATAAATGAGCTTTCTGTTCTAAATGAGCCAGCCTGTGAACTCATTCCCTTCTACGCAGACAGTGATTGATAAGGCAAGACATTTGTCTCTACATTTTGCAAAGCCCTTATCAATAAGCTACTGTACTGTACATGAGTTTGTTCTGGTGTTTCTATTTATGGAGAACTTTGTTTAGAACCAACATTGCCTACTGCAACCTGCAAGGGACCCCTTTTCTTTCATTAAGTAAACTGACGACCCCTGACTAAGTGACATATTTTATGGTTAATTCATATTTTGTTCAACACATGGATGACAGATGGATGTCAGCTTAACTAACATCCTCTTCTCCTTCCTCTATGGAGTCCAGAGGACAGTCCACGACAGAGCTCACGTTCCTGATCAGTTATATTGAGTCTCTTCCTGTTCCCTGTCCGTAACTGCCCCCCTCCTCCAGCAACCACCCAAGCAATAAGAAGATGGCTGAGCCACCACCAGAGTCATAAAAATGTCCTGAGGAGAGCCCTGCTTACCTGAAAGGACCTCCAGTCTCCTCCCAAAGCCAGGGGAGGGCGAAATCTGGCCCTTCTTGTAGAGAGCATGGGTGTTGTCAGGATGAGGCTGTTTACAGTGAGTATAAATATAGCTTGTATTGGTTTAAATTATTATTTAAGAATTTTCTATCTGAAATAATTATTTAAACGAACACGAAGATGATGTTTTTCATCAGATCCAAGTAATATCTTGTGCATCCAAATCACTCATTTTACACAAACGTCTTGCAGTTAATGAGTTCTTTATTTGGGTTCATTGTACAGTTTTGAATATATTATGAAATATCCATAAAATATGTCACTAAGTCAAGGGTTGTAAGTTAATTAAATGATAGAAACGGTTGGGAACCACTGCCATAGCAGGTCAGGTGACGTAATAAGAAAAAAAAAACGTCATTGTCAGGAAGACGTGGATGGGTGGGTTAAACACGACCTGCATGAAAAAAAGCAGCTCATTTGATCAGGATCAGCTGTTTCAATGTGTGCCAATGCAAATGGCTCAGGCAACAAAATAAAGTTGAACTGAATTTTAAACATTAGACTCATTTCAGTGTAACGTCGGCCTGGCAACACATTGGCCACTCAAATGTGTGCACATTCCTGGTAGTACTATAATACTCCAGTACTCCCAGTTCAGCATTAATGCCAAACACTCAATTATTTTGTGAGAGCAAACAGACCTACTGAGACCTCATTCCGGAACATCCATTAGCTTATGTAGCTCCATTCCCACAAAACGGAAACTCAACAGCAGCTTTTACAGGAGCTACTATATGTGATGGAGGTGGGCGTATGTGTGACATCTGTGCAAAGATTGCATCTTTTCCCAAACAGAGGTCAAGAGAAGAGGATGGAGCATTGCCTGGTTGTGTTGTCATAGAGACCATCGGAGAACAGAGATAATATCGAGGGCTCACTTCAGGCAAAGAGAAGGGAATAAAGATTTTTACTGTTCATTTCAATCATAACTTCTGCCTTTCCTCCCTGGCTCAATCTCTAAAGCTTTCATCTGCTGCATTCAGAGCTCATGTGACGGCTGTCTCTCCCTTTCAGTGCGGTAATGAGTGCTGCTGCATACCCATGTGGAGAGGAGGACGGCTACTTGTCAGCTAAACCCTTCAACAAAAATAACCAGAAATGAGACGCTTTTCAACTGAAAGACATTTATTTAGACATTTTTTGGCCCGTGTCAGCCACGAAAGCAAAAACAGGGTTTCATCCCAAAAGGAAATATTTCCAAAATTTATGTCAGCCACTAGACTCTGACAGCTTCGATATCTGTATGTGGTTTCATGCCAGTGATTAAAATGGCGGATATCTCATTTTGGAATAAAACACTTCAAAAAATACAATAGTCCTTGTCCTAGAACTGGAAATGAGTACAAAAAGAAATCATTGCACAGTATTAAAATGCCATAGAAAGAAAACTGCATTCATGTCATGAGAGAGAAAAATACCTTGTTAACCAGTGAATCTCGAGAGGCACATGTTGGGAGTTGAAGAGATCCACTGGCCACGTGCACACAATATGCTTCTGAATGATCAGATTTAAGCGGTGGTTTGATTTGGGAGTTTATTTTTAAGTAAGATCATTTTCTCCTGGAGCCAGAGGGATTCTTTTAAATAATAATTGGGGTGCTTCATCTGGATCAATGTCCTCTAACCTTTTGAACACACGGCATACTCTAAAAAAGTGAATGACATTGAGCAAAAATCTGGCATTCACTCAGGTTATGTTTACAGTGATTATGAAATTAGCCTGACATGAGTAGAAAATCAGTTAATGCTGAAAACTGCTGATTATTTTGCGTGCATGCGTGTTGATACTACTGCACACATGCACTGTAGACAGTATGTGATTAGCATGCACACATCCCACCGCAGAACCCCCGACAGCCGGACACCCTGCGAGGAGAACAGACAGGACAAACAAACAGAGGAAATGGGTGGGGGAACGCAGGCTGAGGTAAAATACAAAGGCTTCCATGGTTTGTTTCACATGTCAGAGAAGAGCTGTTCGATTTTATAGAATGTAACAGGAGGCTAAGGCTGAAAGATCAATGGCTGCAAGAAAAGTAAAAGTCATGGGCGACTGTCCAATCATAGCGCTACACGTGTCTTGCCAAGAAAAGTATTGGAATTCATAATAATGCATCTCTGAGCTGTAGCTAGCTAATTAAGCTAACGTTATATTCATGGGACGATTGAGTGCCGGGTGCCAGGTGCCAGGTCTTTGTTTGTCCATTCTGGGCTACTGTAGAAACATAGTGGCCTCCGTAGAAGAGGACTCTGTAAATATAAACAGCTCATTCTAAGGTAACAAAAATACAACGATTCCTATTTTCAGGTGATTATACACTAATGAAAACATACCTATGAATATTACATGGATTCTTAAATACGCAACTGGCTAATTATAATGCTAAAAGACTGAGGCTGAAGCTGCCTGTCCCTGTCAATAAGTCATCAACCCTACTAGTTAATGATCCATGTAAAAGACATGTAACACTAAATAAAGAAACAGTATTGTTAGTGTAGATAGTAAAGAAAAAAGATAGATCATTCCAACATAAGCCTGTTTGGCTGCTTAGCTAACAATAGCAGCTTACTATTTCTTAACAATTTCCCCTTGGGGATTAATAAAGTATAACTTGTTCTTCTTCTTCTTCTTCTCACATTAGAGCAGATAAACACACTTTTGTGGATTTGGAAGAAGACACCCTCATCCAAACTATGGCTCCAAGCTACAGCCAGATGCACACTGCTTCAACATGTGTAGGAATCCAAAGCCTGCTGTACCTGTCGTGCCTAGTTATAGTTGCTAAGCTATGATTGGACAGTTGCTCTTCGCGGAATGGGGTTCTAGTAAAGGCTCAGTACTCAACAACTGGGCCACAATGTGGTACCATGGTACTTGGCTGTCTGGCTGTTCATTATTTTGACATTTTTTAAATGTTGTCATTCAGTAAATTGTTGGCATGAAATCATTTGACTCGTCTCAATTCACACAGAGACTGGACTTGATTTACTTGTTGGTCTCCAGAGCCAAAAAGGTTGGGGAACGCCTGATCCAAAAAAAAAAAAAAAGTCAAAATGTATGCATGTTCGCTTACGTGCAGCCAGGAAGGATGTTCCAGCCTGTATCCTCGCAGACAACATTGTGGGGTAACTCAAAACACTGAAATAGGAAAAGTATAACTGTAGCGTACAGATAAAGCACATACCAACTGTGCACACTGGGGGAAACACCAAAAAACCAACAGGTAGACAGAAAGGAATGTTGAATTCTCGTACCATCGATACAAATTCATGTTACTCCCTTTTAAGTAGTGGTCTGCTGCTGGTAGACCTGCTAACATGGCAGTTCAAAGTGTGCCTCCACACTCCCAGCCGTCTCTGTATCCCTCCACTGACTCAACGATGCAAATTGTTAACAAACAAGGCAAGTAACAAATTTTGTGACACGGTGGGTGGTAAATCCCCAAAATATCTACGTGCCAAAGAGACTTTTGTTTGGTGAGGAGAAGTCCTCTGACTGAGAGTAGACAACCTTGCTAACAGCAGCGAGGTTTCCTCAGCGTTGTGGGTGGTTTTCCTGCTCCTCCTTAACAAGACCAGCAATATGATATGCAAGTGCTTTGGTGCTGTACTGTACTAAGAACAGTCTAGATTTATGGAATATAATGTCTTTTGTGTGTGGACCAAAAAAAAAAAAGCCAGGAGCAGAAAATAGTTTTCTAACCATCATGTGGTTTAAATGAAGTGAAGCAGAGGAATGTGCTGGCTGGCAGCAGAGAGCACCCACATTCCCACAAGGCTTAAAGGGCGTGAGAAGTCAGAAGTCAGATGGCAGACGGCAGGATTCCCGTTGCCGACCGTCGCCTTATTGTCAAAGGCCGCCTCAGTCGCCCACGTCGCTGTCCTGGTCTCCTATGACCCACAGGAAGTGGAAGCTGAGCGCCAGCAGGGCGGTACCCAACAGGTCACCCAGAGCTGTCAGGTAAGGGATGGAAAAACTGTCGGGATCTTTGCCGCTCCGCCACATGGAGTGCACCATCCAGTCTGATATACACAACAATAGCAGCACCTGGGAGAGAAGGAAAGGAGGATTAGACTGCTGCTTCCTGAAATGAAGACACTGCAGGAAGCCTACAGAGTTACCCAGGGTTCTCTCAGAAAGAGTGCTCGCACAACCTCATCATAGAGAAAGAATTGAGTTATTCATTTAAAATGACTGATTACCAAAGTCAGAATTCATAAACTAAAAATATATTTCCACATTTTAGGGCCAAATAGTAACAGCTGAGAAATAGTAATAGCTATTGTTTTTACACTTCAGTTTTGTATGAGGGGTCAGATTCGACCCCTTGGCCACTGCAGCAATTCAATTCAATTTTCAATT